TCATGTTCGGGCTGGACTTATTTATGAAAATTTTGATGTCTCAGCCTTTGTTGCACCATTTCTCGCATTTCTGATCGTCTCACCCATGGAGCACAAACGAGACGCGACCGTGGCGGGCTTGGCGTGGCCTTCGAACCCTACCCGTGGACCCGCTCCTACCAACCCAGTTCCTGTACCAGACACCCAGGCTGCTGCACTTTGTCATTCTGGCGCTTCTGACCCTCCTACCAACACCACTTCGGCACCTTTGGCGACCGACAGTACAGCTCCTGACCTTGGAACTACGGTCCATTCTGATACATATTCGGGCCCTGCACCTCCTGATGTCCCGTTTCCGACGGAGCCAAGCTCTACACACAACTACCTCCATCGTGCTCACTTCTCTTCCCGCGTGGTTCACCAGATCCAATTCAAGATCTTTACCCACTCCAACAACACCAGGGTGCTATTCATTGAAGAGATCCCCTTGTCAGGGCTTTCCAGATGTCGTGATCCTGAACACTACTTTTCTGGTCTTTCGGGCAATTGGGAATGGTCCCTGCGCACAGCGGACTATTGGCGACATCATTTTGAAATTCCTCTAGTACATGGACATCACCCTTTTCACAACGTTCCCATTGAGACCACTGCACCTACGGAGGCAACCCGCTTTACTCCGACGATCCAGGACTTGGCCCAACAACTTTCAATCACTTTGAGGGCTGCTATGGCATCTGGGGAAACCAACGACACGTGGAGAGCGCTTGAGGACATGAGCTTCCGTGACGCGATCGAAACACTTCAAGCTGGGACGAGCCTACCTTCTGAGTGACTGCATACAGTTGTGTACATTAGCTCCGGATAAGCTTTATGTGTCTAATTTTGTCGACATTCGCTGCGATGGTCTTCCAAAAATCAAACCCCGCTACAAGCGGGGTGTGTGTGTGTAACATCTGAACAGATGTAAAACTTCCTTGACTCTTACCGTTTTACAGTTGCAGGAAACCTGTTTATATTTGCAGGGGGCGACAGGGTCGCTGCATGGCTGTCGCCAACGAAGCTCCATGCAGTTGACTAGGATATGGAGTCTGATCAACTCCACGTACCTGCTTTTTCCGACATAGCAAGGGGCCAAGCTCAGAACCCCAACCACCATGATTTTATTCCTCCACGGTTGCCACAATCTGTAGTTTATGCATCAGAACCTTCCTCAGATTCTCGCCGAAACCATTTCGCCGACAGTGTTTTTGAATTTTTGATATATTTTCGCCGAGATCATGTCGCCGATGAACTTTGGGTCATTTTGGGAAACAATCGCCGAAACATTATTTTGGATTTTCAACATGCTGGTCAAAACTCTATGGACTCTGGTTATGACTACGTTTGACAATATTGGATGCCCTACATCGTTTTCGAGAAGTACCTCATGTGGCTCCTTTATTAATCTAACGATCTAGGCTGGTTTGCATGTTTCAGGATTCAGTTCCTGCCGGATCATATAGTGATCCATTCTTGTCTAGTGTGTGAGTGAGTGAGTGAGTGAGTGAGTGTGAGTGAGTGAGTGAGAGTGAGTGAGTGTGTGAGTGAGTGAGTGTTGGAGGGAGGGAGGGAGGGAGGACGGGAAGGAAGGAGGAGGAGGAGGAGCGGATACAGAACCAAAAACAAAAACCCCACACGTCAATGTGGGGAATAAAGAAAATAGACTAAGTGATAATTAAGTGAATACTAAATATTTAACGAGGATAATGATGAAAAGCAAATGAAATGATGAAGTGATCCGGGAGTGTGGTCGCGCAAGGAACGCGCAAGGTTGGCGCAAGGCCGGCCCAAGAGGCCTTTGTGGGAACAATAAGTTAGGACAACCCCCATATACATATAAATAAATAAATAGATAGATAAATCAATAGATAAATACATAAATAAATGTGTATATATATAATATCATATATATATATATATATCATACATACATACATGCGTGCATGCATGCATGCATGCATACTCTTATACATTCGTACATTCGTACATTCATACATTCATACATATATATATGTATATCTTTGTGTGTATGTATATATATATATATAACTACGTATGTGTACTCGTTGACCAACAGGTACATGCTTGTCCCATCCTTTATCACATGATCACTCTCCAGTGCCAGATTTTGGTATTTCTTTGGTGCCTTGGTGCATGCCTCCATTTTTTTGTTTTTTGTTGGATTTTTCTGTTTTTTCATGTTTTTTCCATCTCAGGAGATCAAGGACAGCATCAAAGACTTGCACTCCGGTGCGATGGCCGCTCCAGGTGCAGCAGCAGCTGCTGTCATGTCGGCCTGAGCTGCTGTCAGGTTGTGCTGCAAGGCGCGGCACATGTTTGACTCTTTTCTTTCTGGAATGGAGCGTGAAGCCGACTCGCCATCATTGAGCCCGTGTGTCATGACACAATATCATGATTATCATGATTATCATGTTATATAGTCTAAGACGGCTATATATACATACATACATGCATGAAATCCATTCTTGGCTTTCCCAGCTGCTGTTGTACGTTTGGTTTGACCCGCTCAAATATTGATTGGCGACGCTCCATCGAGAGTGCTCAACACCAAAAAACCTCGCATCGCCGTGCCCAAATTACACCTATCTTTTGCCACTGTCTCATAGAGGCGCTTCACGGCGTCAAATTGCTTTACCATCTACAAGGGATTTGTTATGATCTGTTGATTTTCTATGATGTAGTTCGGAAAGATCATGAAAGATCATGAAAGATCTCCAGCCATATCCCAAATTTTGGGTGTGAGAGGCTTTGCGAGAGCTGTTTTCGGGCGTGAAACCCATGGCCTGCTCAGAATTTCCATTTGCGAAGTCTCTTCAACATCTCTTCAACTTAGCAAGAGTGGGCAGCTATTCAACAGCTCCTCGGGTCACTGTCCTTGTTGAATCTTGTTGACATGAAGTACAATTGTCATACAATTGTCCTGATTTTCTGTCTTGCCAGCTGTATCTGCACATGCAATTGGATGGACGCAGGGCCTTAGTTGCTTGGTGCATGCAGGGTGTCACTTCATTTTGCCCGCCGAGTCTGCAGACCGCAGACTTGACCCTGAACCTTGCAAAGCAAGACGAAAGGGGGATGTCCGCGGGTCCGCAGTGAGCCGCTTTCTTTGGAAGACGCTTTGCCCCTCCCCATCTTTGCCCATTTGCCCATCTTGGCCCACCATCAAACCGCTTCTCAGAAGCCAGCAGATATGCTGCCAGGGCAGATTCAGTAGATACGGAGAGGCACAGCATCTTCGGCTGGGCCTGGCCTGGGGAGCTGCATTCCCAATGATCAGATGGAGATCATGTGTGCTTCATTACGTATATGTGCACGCACATACATGCACATAGATATGTATGAAATTGTATGAACACATGATTCAGCAGATCTTCTAGTTCAAGATGCCCCAAGCCATTTTGCAGACTGAAAGCTCTATCCTGTCTCAAGGCACTGAGCTGAAGTGCAGCCTTGAGACCCACAACGAAAAGTGAAGAAAGATAGCGCTCGCGCTGCGGTCGTTCATTTGCATCAACTGACGGGCTGTCCGAAAAATGGGGTACCAAATCCACTGGTATGTCATCATGGTCTTCATTAAAATTGCCATAAATGGATATAAATGGGGTTTCCATCCCCCATTTTCAGATTCATCCAAACCATCATTGTTGGTTTATATCAACTCATTTTATGCAATGATATCCCCATTTTAATGCTTGCTTCTCCCGCATTTCTGTTGTTTTTTTCCTCTGCTGGGGCATCTCACCAACACGTTCCGTCAGGTTTTGGGGGCCATGTGGGAGCGGCAGAAGTACTGCTGAAGGCAAAAGCAGATCCCAATGTGCGCGCAGAGGCCGGGTGTTCGACCTGCGGATGCTCTATTTCTCCATTGTTTAATGGTGAAGAGTTGGGTTGTACAGCCCAAAAGCGAATGAATTTCGCCACACTAGGGATGGTCATACCACCATATTATACCATTGAATAGGAATTTATATGGGTTTGGAATGGCCAACATAAGGATTCCCAATAACGGTGGGATGACCACGTAACTTGACCATGGACCATGTCACTGGGGATTGGGATAGAAGAATGGCTTAAGTCATGGATCATTGTGGATCTCTAGACTTACTGTTGCTTAGTAGGGAATGGGGGATGGGACCGGAGGATTGTTAATAGTAATTATGGGCAATATTGGATAATTATGAATCATTCCCCCATTCCCTACTAAGCACCAGTAGAGGGGTGACCATTAATCTCTTGTTTGGAGGACGGGAGCACGCCTCTGCATGGAGCAGCAGAGAGAGGCCACATCTCATGGGACCGGAAGAATTGAAGAAAGTGTATGCCAAAGAACAAACAGGATAGAGCCCTGTGCTTATATAATCTTATATACCTATATATATATATATAATCCATTATCATCCTATATACTCATATGATCTCATATGTATAGTTATATGAGTATTATATAGTCTATACATACAATATGACGGACACATCAGACAGACAGACAGATAGACACACTTTGGCACACGTTTTTGACGGATTATCCTCGGTTTTGGTAGATTCACCCAGGTCCCTTAAAACTGCCTCTGGGGAGGCCATGTTCAAGTTGTGGAGTTGTTGCTGGCGTCCAGTGTAAATTGGCAGTCAGCACCCTGGGCCCAGTCCTGTGCCATGGAGCACACCTGCCGTTTTGGGCACCAAAGAAGATCTCTTGTTGGGTCCAAGTGGAGCTTCTAAAAATTGAGGTGTTGAAGTAGCTTAGGTAGCTTGGATTGTGATTTGGATTCATTTCTCATGGAAGTCCCCGAGGTCAGTAGCGGCCGGTGGACGTACCCCCTTGCATGTGGCAGCAGAGAGGGGCTTTGCAGACGTGGCTGAGGTTTCCTGGCTGCAATTGCCACTTTGAGGGTTGGAAATGAAGCTTTTTGCGCCATGGGGCCATGGGATTGAATGGAGGGGTCGCATCATTTTCAGACGCGATGGAGTTGTACATTCAAGATGCCAGGCATCTCCGAATCTCCGATCTTTCTATTTCTGTCATTTTCGATCTGCGACCCAACGTGTATGCTTGTATCCATCCCTATCCATCCCTATCCATCCCTATCCATCCCTTTTTCTGCAGGCTTTGCTGGCGAATGGCGCAGAACCTGAGGATCGCACAGAGGCACCGTGTCGGGCTCCGCGGGCTCCGCGGGCTATGCTTTGCTCCAAACTCGTCGCCCAGGAAGCCCGGACAGCTCTGATTTGTGCGGCAGCTCGTGGGCATGTCCTCGTTGCCTGGGACTTAGACTCCACCCAGTGGAGTTGGGAGACAGTGACCGTGGGCTTCATGGCGCATGGCACGGTGATAGGTTGCGAAGCTCCTGGATTTCCAGGCCGATGTGCAGGCGTGGACACAATGAGAATGGAGATTCTCTGCCAATCTAACCTGGCAATGGGAAATTGCCATCCCCTTTAATATCTTTTTATTGGAAAATCACAGAACAAAATCAATCAATATCAATCGAAATCATCTAATGTTTGCATCTGATTAGTGTGAGGGCCCCCCCCCAAACAATTTGAGGATACTCTATAACTCGCACTTTTTTTTGCCCCCCTCAACATTTTTTTTGGTCAATCAAATTAAGAAAGGATTTCAATTTACTTTCAATTGATTTCCATTTACTTTCAATTGATTTCAATTTACTTTACTTTTAATTTACTTTCAATTGATTTCAATTTCAATTTACTTTTAATTTACTTTTTACAATTTACTTTCAATTTACTTTCAATTGATTTCAATTTACTTTTAATTTACTTTCAATTGATTTCAATTTACTTTCAATTTACTTTCAATTTACTTTCAATTTACTTTTAATTTACTTTTAATTTACTTTCAATTTACTTTCAATTGATTTCAATTTACTTTTAATTTACTTTCAATTGACTTTCAATTTACTTTCAATTGATTTCAATTTACTTTTAATTTACTTTCAATTGATTTCAATTTACTTTCAATTTACTTTCAATTGATTTCAATTTACTTTTAATTTACTTTCAATTTACTTGGGTGCTGGTTTGTAATTAGTTGGGTTTTAATAAGAAATTTTGAGAATTCCAAAGGAATGAAGCTGAGAAAAGGCTTTTGTTTTTTTCACTCCAAAAAACTTGGTGCTCACAATAGAGTACCATCCAAACAATTATATTATTGAGTAACTGAGCCACTCATGAGGTACACCCTTGAAAAATTGTCTGAGTGCTGTTTTTTAATAAGGGTTTAATAAGGCATCTAATTATTTGGAAAACCTTGCATTTTAAAGCTTTAACACAACTATGGCTTTCTAAAGTGAAAGGGCCAGCTTTACCCAAAGAAAGGTGGAGAAAGGGTTTTGCTTTTTTTCACTCCAAAAAGTTGGTGCTCACAATAGAGTACCATCCAAACAATTATATTATTCAGTAACTGAGCCACTCATGAGGTACCCCTTTGAAAAATTGTCTGGATGCTGTTTTTTAATAAGGGTTTAATAAGGCATCTAATTATTTGGAAAGCCTTGCATTTTAAAGTTTTAACACAACTATGGCTTTCTACAGTAAAGGGGCCAGCTTTACCCAAAGAAAGGTGGAGAAAGGTTTTTGTTTTTTTTTCACTGCCAAAAGTTGGTGCTCACAATAGAGTACCATCCAAACAATTATATTATTGAGTAACTGAGCCAATCATGAGGTACCCCGTTGAAAAATTGTTTGGGTGCTGTTTTTTTAATAAGGGTTTAATAAGGCATCTAATTATTTGGGAAACCTTGCATTTTAAATTTTTAACACAACTATGGCTTTCTACAGTAAAGGGGCCAGCTTTACCCAAAGAAAGGTGGAGAAAGGTTTTTGTTGTTTTTTTTCACTCCCAAAAGTTGGTGCTCACAATAGAGTACCATCCAGACAATTATATTATTCAGTAACTGAGCCACTCATGAGGTACCCCCTTGAAAAATTGTCTGGGTGCTGTTTTTTAATAAGGGTTTAATAAGGCATCTAATTATTTGGAAAACCTTGCATTTTAAAGCTTTAACACAAATATGGCTTTCTAAAGTAAAGGCATCAGCTTTACCCAAAGAAAGGTGGAGAAAGGGTTTTGCTTTTTTTTTCACTCCAAAAAGTTGGTGCTCACAATAGAGTACCATCCAAACAATTATATTATTGAGTAACTGAGCCACTCATGAGGTACCCCTTTGAAAAATTGTCTGGATGCTGTTTTTTAATAAGGGTTTAATAAGGCATCTAATTATTTGGGAAACCTTGCATTTTAAAGCTTTAACACAAATATGGCTTTCTAAAGTGAAAGGGCCAGCTTTACCCAAAGAAAGGTGGAGAAAGGGTTTTGTTTTTTTTTCACTCCCAAAAGTTGGTGCTCACAATAGAGTACCATCCAAACAATTATATTATTGAGTAACTGAGCCACTCATGAGGTACCCCTTTGAAAAATTGTCTGGATGCTGTTTTTTAATAAGGTTTTAATAAAGGGTTTTGTTTTTTTTTCAATCCCAAAAGTTGGTGCTCACAATAGAGTACCATCCAAACAATTATATTATTGAGTAACTGAGCCACTCATGAGGTACCCCTTTGAAAAATTGTCTGGATGCTGTTTTTTTAAATAAGGGTTTGATAAGGCATCTAAAATAAAATTAATTAAAAATAAACATAAATAGAAAAGTAATTAAAAAGAAAAGTAAAGTTAATTAAAGCATTTGGAAAAATATTTTTTTAAAAAATTACTTTACTTCGTGTGATCCCCACCATGACATTTATACATTTTCTTACTGGCAATATCTTCTGGCATTCTTCTATCTGACATATCTTCTGGCACTATCTCATATCTTCTGGCTATCTCATATCTTCTGGCATGGCATTCTTCTGGCATATATTCTGACATATCTTCTGGCATATCTTCTGGCATATCTTCTGGCATATCTTCTGACATATCTATCTGGCATATCTTCTGGCATATTTTCTGGCATTCTATCTGGCAAATCTTCTGGCATTCTATCTGGCATTCTATCTGGCATATCTTCTGGCATCTTATCTGGCATTCTATCTGGCATATCTTCTGGCATATATTCTGACATATCTTCTGGCATTCTATCTGGCATTCTATTTGGCATTCTATCTGGCATATCTTCTGGCATATTTTCTGACATTCTTTCTGACATTCTTTCTAACTTTCTTCTGCACATTCTTTGTCCCATATCTTCCTACATGAGGTCCGGCAGGGAACACTTGGCGTGGATACTCGCCGTTGAGGTCCGGCAGGGAACACTGGGCGTGGATGGTCGTGGTTGAGGTCCGGCAGGGAACACTGGGCGAGGATGGTCGTGGTTGAGGTCCGGCAGGGAACACTGGGCGTGGATGGTCGTGGTTGAGGTCCGGCGGGGAACACTGGGCGTGGATGGTCGTGGTTGAGGTCCGGCAGGGAACACTGGGCGTGGGTGGTCGTGGTTGAGGTCCGGCAGAGAACACTGTGGATCGCGGGTCGCAGTTGAGCCAGGACGACGAGGACGACGAGGACGACAAGGATGACAAGGAGGACGAGGAGGAGGAGGAGAGGAGGAGGAGAAGGAGGAGAAGGAGGAGGAGGAGGAGGCAACTGACATAAAATCTAACAACCCTCACCTGGCAGGTGGGGAAAAAAAAATCTGGAAAAAATTTCTCACAATAGAGGCCCCCCCCCCAACAATTGGCATGTGACTGAATTAGGAGCAAGAAATTTCTCACAATAGGGTACCATCTCTTTAATCAGGTGCAAACATTATAAATCATACAAATCATCTATAAATCAGCTGTGAACATGGTTATATATACCAGTAGTACCGCACAAGGCAGTGGCGGAAGTTTCAAAAATAGGAAACCTATAGGAGAGGTTGGTTGTTGTGAATCAGGGATGGCAGAGCGAAGCCACTGATGGATTGAAAGGTGCTTGATCTCTCTCACTCTTTCTCTCTCTTTCTCTGACTATCTACCTACCTACCTATCTATTTTCTATGTATCTATCTATCTATCGATCTATCGATCTATCTATCTATCTATCTATCTACCTATCTATCTCTCTCTTTCATCGAATTACCTATCTATCTATCTATCTATCTATCTATCTCTCTCTCTTTCTTTCATCTGTCTATCTGTCTGTCTAGCTGTCTGTCTGTCTATCTATCCATCTATCTATCTATCTGTCTATCTATCCATCTATCTATCTATCTGTCTATCTGTCTGTCTACCTGTCTATCTATCTATCTATCTGTCTATCTATCTGTCTGTCTGTCTGTATATCTGTCTAGCCATTTATCTATCTATCTCATCTACCCAGCTGGCCTCTCTCTCTCTCTCTCTCTTTCTCTTTCATCTAATTACCTATCTATCTATCTATCTATCTACCTGTCTATCTATCTCTCCCTTTCATCTGTCTATCGGTCTAGCTGTCTACCTGTCTATCTGTGTTGCAGTGTCATTCAGTGTAATGTAGTGTGGTGTAGTGTAATTTAGTATAGTGGAGTGTACTGGAGTGTAATGTAGTGTAATGTAGTGTACTGGAGTGTAGTGTAGTGTAACGTTCTGTAGTGTAGTGTCTTGAAGCGAAGCGACATCTGAACCTCCAAAAGTGGTCCGAACCCCTTGTGTTTTGTACATCTTGACGCCACAACGGCGTGCACTTTTTCGACATCTCAACCTCCAATAGTGGTCCGAACCCCTGGTGTTTTTAACATTTTGACTTCGAAATGTGCTTCGCGCCACAACGGCGTGCACTTTTTCGACATCTGAACCTCCAAAAGTGGCGCGAACATGTAGTGCTTTGTACATTTTGACTTCGAAATGTGCTTCGCGCCACAACGGCGTGCACTTTTTCGACATCTCAACCTCCA